TGCTGGGAATAAGATGAATTTCGATCACGAGTTTCCAGGATAACTTCCAGGAGTCGGTGGCAGGAACCTTATAGGACTGCTTCCTGCCAGGTCTTCCTCACCGGGATCTTCCAAACCTCTGTCATAGATGTGGAGAGGTTGTCAGCAAATAGCTGCCTCTGGCGAAAAGCAGAGGTGGGGAGTAATTATAAAATACAGGAAGATGCTCCAGCTAAAATGAGAACTGATATGGGCAAGTGCTGGAGGGGTACAATCATCTTCCCAAACGCCCGTGCCACAAGTCTAGCTGGGTGACACCCACAAAACTGGCCCTGCTTTGGAAGGGGAAGGTGACAGCAAGTCAACTGGGGCTGCTCTTCTGCAGAAATTGTCTTATTTCGTTTGAGTTTAATTTTAAACACGTAAGAAATCCCAATCTGGAAGGGTCCTCATGGCCCCTGTCCAGCTTAGGGGGAGACCCTGCGCAGATCTGGACTGTGGACAAGGGCTGCCAGGGAACCCCTCAACCCAGACCTTCATTCCCAAACAGAAGCACCTATACCTTGTGATTTTTTTTCTCTGATTGACAGCCCAGCCTGTGCCAGGGCTGCAGACGCAATGCTTCCAATATTGCAAGTTTGGGTTGGAGTTTCTCCCTTATTGCTTATGATCAGAAAAATTTTGGTCAGACTCAATCTTCCTGACAGGATGAGGGCGAGAGTTCAAAATTTAGATAGGTATTTTAAAAAGCCTAGCAGCAATCAAGAAAATATTTTAATAATTTTAAGAAGTGAAGTTCATGCCGTATAAAATACACAAGTTTTAAATAGACAGCAGTTGTCAGCAGCCAGGCAGTCAGGCAGAAGGCAGTGATGGTCAAGGGGAAGGTGGGAGGTGGAGGAGGAAGAAGGAGGAGAGGAGAGGAGAAGGAAGAAAAAGAGGACAGAAGAAGACTAGAGGAGGAGAGGGGAGGTGAGAAGAGGGATGGGCGGGGAGAGGAGAAGGACGGCAGAGAGAGGGAAGAAGCTGAGCCCAGAGGGTGGAAGGCGCAGGGGGTGGGGGGCGCAGGACTGGGGTTGTGACCCTCTGAATCACGGAGATTCTTCTTCCCAGTTGTTGGGACGCTCAGCGCTTTCAGACCCCGCTCAGACTCCGTGTTCTCCTAGAAAGGAAGAGGGAAGGAGTAGGAGTCCAAAGAGCGCCTTTCCAACTGCCTCGAGCTCCCAGGGGTTGAACCGGGGCGCCTGTCGCCCAGGAAGGAGGGGAGAGCCGCGGCTCTGGCTGGGACACCCGGTGCAGGGCGACCTTGAGTCCCAAGCGGACCTAGTGCTGGCCTTTGCGACTTCTTAAGCCCAGGCCGGCGGTGGACATCGCGGCGCCAAGAGCGCCAACATTTTCCCTCCCGCAGACCAGGACTCTGGAGATGCCTGTGAGCTGCCTGGGACCCACGGATCCGCTTTTCCCGTGTCGCCGCGGTGCGACAGCGTGGGCTCCCGGCTGATCGCGCGCGCACAGCACCCGGGGGCCTCAGGCCACAACCTGGCCATGGCCGAGCAGCCTTCCTGCTTCATTCTAGAGAAGGAAGCCTCAAAAGGTGAGCCCGGAGAGGGCCACCAGGGTCGACGCGAAGCTGCTCTGGGCTGGGACTCAGGCCCGCGCTCCTCCGGGCGCTCGGCCGGGCTCCCGGAGCTCAGGGTGAGATCCACCCTGTCACCGCGCTCCCTGGCCGGCGTCCTTACACTGTCCTTGCTCCCCGCAGGATCGGGGGCTTCTTTCCGGATTCCAAAATCGAATTTAGGATTCCAAAGACACCGAGGACCCACACAGTTTCTTCTTGAAGTGTCTGCCAGGAAAGAGCCAGGAGGAGACTGGGCCAGCTTTGGACTCTGCCCCGCTGCTGAGAATCGGTCTCCACTCTGCGCTGTTCCCGGGCGAACAAATCAAGCCCAGCTTTGCCCGTCGCCTGCAGACTGCAGATGGCCAGCATGACCATATCAGAACCCTGCAAATGCCAGCACGGGTCCCTGCTACCTCCGTCCTTAAACCCCACAACATCCAAGGCTGAAAACCAATGACCTCCTGCACAGTTCTTGGGATCAAATAAAAACTTCTGAGTTCTGGAGCTCCCAATGAGAATTTGAGTGTGGCTTGAATAGGGAGGCATATAATGGAGCTGAGACTGACAACCAGATTTTACATTTCCAGGCCCCAGGGTTCAGCAGGATTTAATAGTTCAGTATTACCATGTGGCCCCATCCTCCTTCTAAACTCTGATATTTTCTTTTCGACGCAGCCCTACTGTACTCAGCATGCAAAACGCATGTCCTTGTGATCAAGAATTTGCAGTTTGAAATTTAAGTGTAATCATTAAAACTTGGTGCTGCTCACGCTATGGGTATTTCGTGCACTTTGCAGATTACACATTGCTCCACAGAGCTAACTTCTAGGGAGGAATGAATTCTTGGCCTTATTTTAATGGAAATGGTGAAAGCAAAGTTTGAAATGCTTATGAAATCTATAAGTCACAGGGTCTGTGCATGTTCAGGTCAGAATTCAAAGCCTCCTCCAAACCCACTTTAACTTCCAGCACCCAATTGCTGCCTACCCTGGGGTTGTGTTCACGTGACTGCCTTGTTTCACCTCTCAGGGTGGTTTTACCTGATAACTCAGGCTTCTAAGGATCCTAAGAAACCGGACTCTTCAGGGAGAGGTTTGAATCCCCCTTGCACAGCACCTCCCTGCCAGGCACTGGTTCCCCGTGTTTATACCACAGTACTGATCTGCACACGCAACACATGCAAGAGGAGGGCAAGTGTGGCCCTGATAATGGCGCTGCAGTGTGTGTCTTCCTGCCATCGTTTCAATCCCATCAAGTTGCATAGCTTAGGGACACCGAAGCAGCTCACCTCTGTGCTCAGCTTTGGTCCAGCAGCCTCTTGAGTCCCTCAGTTCCCAACATCGCCTCCAGTTGGCTCAGCCACTTTAATGGTGGACACTGGGCATTTCCTGCCCCCAGGGTCCCACACCTAGGCTAAGCCTTCTGGGCAGTGGGAAGGAGGTGGCATCTGAGGCCTGGCAATTCACCTTTCCCTTTATTCCCACTTTTTCTTTTTCCCCTGGAAATATCTGTCCCCTGGTTATTACTCAAACTCCACCGGAGTCATTAAGATAACTAAGGCAAGACATGGCTTTTCTTCTGTATAGAAACACAATGGCAAATGTTAAAGACTGGTGTATAATTCTTTAGCAAACACTAAAAACTCAGTCCAGCCAACACAATCTGGTGCACCGAATATATCAGGGTCTAACCATCACATTCTCCCCTCTGAAAAGAAAAAGACAAAAAACTCCATTTCTTGAGCTTCACTCCTGAATAAACCTAAGCATTTGTGACAGGAGAGAAACCATATGTGCACTGCATTCAAAAGAAGGAAATGTCACCTTGAGAAGATTTCGTTGCTGGGATGAGAGTCTTCCTGTGTGGGATGGCTTTAATAACCCAAGGATTTGGGTTGGGTCCTGAGTATCCAAACCAGCCAAGGATTCAGAGGCATCTGGGCTAAGCCCCTGTTCTTAACCTTGGTCCAATCCGAAAGCCTGCTGGCAGTCAGCCTGGGGTCCGCTGAGGACCCAGATGCAAGACCAGGTCAGGATCTGGACACAGACCTAGAGCAGGATCCTGAGCTGGGTCTCCTGGGGGAGTCACTGAGGGAGGGGGAGATGCTCAGCTCCCCCAAGCTTGACCCATTTCTCCTCTCTGGAAAGCATATGGAAATGGAGACCACAGGGCAAAACTCTACCAGCGCCAATGTTTAGCTTTACAAATTTCCACTCGCTTTTACAGGTAGATGCTTTGCACTGGGATGGAGACATCAGAATACTTATCTCCATCACCTTCCCGCAGCACCTGGTGAAAAAGGATCCACGCATAAGGACCAGGACAGCCTTAAATCAGAAGCCCCTGGTGTCGCAGCTCTGTTCACACAAATGTTCCCAGCAGCGATTTTGACATTTCAAACTGGCACCCCCCTGTATTCCAGGAGCTGGGGACAGATCCAGGGGGAAATGGGACTTGTTTTCTTTTTCTCAAGACCTACCAAAGGGCTCCTAATCACCAGACTGACAGGCTGGAGAGGAGCGCAAATATTTACATGTGCAGTTTGAGTGCGGGTCTCAGCCTGGTTTACAGGGCTCCCATGAAGCAGATTACCCGGCGAATTTGGAGAATTTGAGTTATTTGGGCTGAGCAAAGCCAACAGGACGCCCCCCACCAGGCCATGGGAAGTCCTGGCCCTGCTGGCTCGGCTTGCACCTCGCACGCAGGGCTTCTCAGAAGCCACACTGGCCCAGAGCGCATCGCGCTGCTCCTGGGGCCCCGCACCCCGACACTGTCACTGCCTGGCTTTCCCCTTGTGGGGAAGAGAAGCCCCAGGCCTCCGGAGGCAGAGGGTGAAAGGGCTCCGGTCTGGAAAGCAGCATCCTGGGCAAATACTGCCAGCCCTGGTCTGAGTTTCTTTTGACCGAGCGTTTCTCCAGGAGAGAGTGTGAGGACCTTTGAGAGGGTCTAGCCCTGGGACCCGTGTCCTGCTTTGGGCAGGACCTGGCGCTCCTTTCCCCTCTGGCGGGCCCTTCCCAGCTGCCTCTTGGAACTGTGCGCCTCCGGAGACAGCGCGGCAGAGGCGAGGACTCCGAGGCTTCCCGGAGCCGGGCCGCGGTGACCAGAGCGCCCCAGGGCTGCGGGACCCGAGGAGGCGTCGGGGCGCCGCGTCGACCTAGCGCAGCACCCCTGACAGTGAGCCGGGCTGCGCTCCCAGCCTGCGGCGCGCTCCGCCACCCGGCGCCGCGCCCCGGCCGCCCCCTCCCCGCCCGCCAGCCCGCCCGCGGCCCCGCCCCCGAAGGCCGAGGCAGGAAGCGGTGACGTGCGGCAGCGCTGACTGGTCGCTGCCCGCGGGCATCGCCGCCGCCCGCAGCTTAAGGCGCAGGACGCGGCCGCTGGAGCGCAGTGTCCCTCGCCTTTGGCTGAGCCCTGGAAGCCCGGGCTCGGCTTCCCGGCTCCCGCGCCCTTGCATGCTGCAGGGCCATCACCATCCAAGCAGCCTGGGCCGCCACAGCTGTCCCCAGCGGGGGGCGGGGAAGGACGCGGAGGGGTGCGGCGGTCCCTGGGCGGTGCGCGGCGGACGCTCGGCCCCGGCCTCGGCTAGCCTGAGCTCTGCCCTGCGCCCCTTGTCTGCGCGCCTCCCCGAGTCCCCGGCCGTTCCCCTGTCCTCTCCTACTGCCAGCGAACGTCGCTGTTCCTCCGGACTTTGCCGAGACACCGACAGGCCAGCGAGCAGCTCCGGGGAGGACACTCCAGCTGACCCTCCCGGAATTCCCTGCCCCCGGTGACCGATCTCGGAACCTTCGCGCTGCGTTTTGGGTCTTTGTCTCCCTGGGGACGCCGCACGGCCTGGAGCGCGCCGGGGACCATGGAGTTCACGGCATCCTCCAAGCCCCAGCTGTCCTCCCGGGCCAATGCTTTCTCCATCGCGGCGCTCATGTCCAGCGGCGGCTCCAAGGAGAAGGAGGCGGAGAGCACCATCAAACCCCTGGGTAAGTGGGGTGGCCGGCGCGCACACCCTAGGCGCCTGTGTCCCCAGCTAGGAGCGGTTTGCAGCTGGCAGAGGGCATGAGCATTCCCCCACCTAGCAGCCTTAGCACCGGCAGGTCAGGCTCACAATCTCAAGAGAGTTTTTCCTCCCTCTCTACCCAATTGGGCGGCGGGTCACAGTCTGTGGAACGCGGGAGCGCTGAGAGTCCTATTTGGATCCGTCCCTGTCTAGAATCCCGATGAGAGTCGGGCACACTGTCTTTGTGAGTGTAAAACAATAAAAAACCCTTTTCGTAGGAAACAATTCACAGTGCAAGTAACACCTGACACTGTACTTGAAACCGAAGTGAAGCTGAGCAGCTTCTAAAGAAACCGATTTAATTTTGTATTGTTCAGCCTGGACGGGACCGACAGCGTCTCCCGGCCCCGCTGCAGAGCGCTGGGCTCAGCCGGGTTTCTCCCTGTGAGCCGTTTGCTTCCCAGAAGCTCCGTACTTATCAGTAAAACTTATTTTATTATCGTCGTTTCTGTTGAGGTTGGCAAAAACATTACCCAGTAACCATTTTTCAAATTCCTCAACTTCTAGTTATACTATTTATTCAGCAACCTTGGCCATTTATAGAAGACACTGGGCTCAGAGCAGAGGGAGAAGGGGGAAAGGAAGATCGCTCTGGTCAGCGCAAGTGAAGTGTGTGGGAAGGCAGCTGCCTGCCGAGCTGGGAGCCTAAAACCCTTTTACAACCCCGGGAGAAAGAAGCGCCCTGCTCACCGTTCCGGGTCCTGGGAACTCGCTGTTCTGCATCTCGATCTCTGATGTCTTGGAGATGGTGAACGTAATCAGGAGTAAACGCAGTGTTTTTTTAAACCCTCCCCAATTTTTTCTTGGTGTCCTTCCCAGCTCTTAAAATATGACATTCAGTGTTGTCATAATAAGAGAAAAAGTTGAAAAATAAGGTGCCTGGCAGAGGGGAGAGCAGCAGAGCCTCTGTAAGGCTTGGAAGCAGGGAAAAGAGAACCAGGAGAACTCTGGGGACAGAATGGGGACGTCCCCCCTGCGGGCTTCCTGCCCTCACCTGCTTCTTTGAGCTTCCTCTGAACCCCAAAACCTGCAGGAGAAATGCAGGAGAAATGAAGCCTCAATTGTGTACGGGAAAATTAAGTACTTTTAAAATAGTATTTGTGGGATGGCCCAGCAGAATCCACTCCCCCAGGATGGGGAGCCCCTGAGTCCTTTATGAACACCCCTCCTCCTCATTTTGGTACCTGACAGAAAAGAGGATTTGGGGTTAAAACCCCTGGCAGATGTGTGGACAGCAGGATGGGACGCTAGTGACACTATCTTTTCCACTTTTTTATTTTCCTGTGAAAAATAACTAAGTTTCAGTATCCTGAGCTATAAATCCACTTTCAGCTCCCAAGGCCCCTGCAGTTTGCCCCCTACCCATCATACTCTGTAAAATGAGCATCTTTCCCCTCCTGGCTCTTGTCTTCAGGGGGACAGTTCAGCAGAGCACAGCTGGTAACTGCGAGAAAGGGCTCAGCAAGACAAAGCCACTGTGGTCTGTGTTGAGGAGAGCACTGTTGGTAGTGGGGCGAGCCTGTGCATTTAACCATGAGGTCCCCTGTAAAAGGGCTGTGGGATGTTTCTGTTTCATTCTCACCCTCCTCTGCTCCCCAAACCCACGATTTGAGCGAGTCCAAAAGTCAGGGCGTTTGCCTTTTTCAGTTGGAAAAGATGAAAAATGTCAAGGTCATTACTTCAATCCTTATAGAGACATTTTGTGAATATATTTCCAAAACTTTTAAAGGAAAATAAGATTTTGCCATGGTCTGACTCCCTTCCTTTGAATTTCAAACAATCAGCATGACAATTGATTCCAGGATTGTTAGTTTAAAGCATTTCTCTGGGTGGTTTATCATTGCATTGAGAAGAAAAAATAAGTAAGAATTCCTTGTTTCCAGTTGCTGAACATCAAGGAGAAATGTGAGGAATAACAAAACGTTTTGAGTTATGAATGCTTCACAGCCCAGATACATTAGACAGATGGACACGGGGATACTAAGAACTTGTTTCCAGTCCTCCAGGGCACACAGAAGTAGAGCAGTGTTGTTTGGAGATGGCTTTGCTTTGCAAATTCAAGTAGTTTCTTTTTTAAGGGATGGGAGATGATTGGGCCAGTTACAGAAGTCCCCTGCATCCCATCAAAGTGACTGGTGCAGTGGAGCCTTATCAGCTGGCAGGAGAACCTGGGGCCCCTAAGCATGGTAGTCTAACCTGCTAACCTGCGCATGGTTGGAAATTGTTTTCCTCACTCCAAAATCTTTTCAAGGAGGAAAAAATTACCTACATCATGTAATTGTTTCATAAATTATTTTTTTAAATGTCCTCACAAATCTGTTTCTGTGTCTTAGCAAGCTCAATTCTTCAGTCCTTCATAAGACCTCTATAAAACTGTTCTAATTTCTTTATACAGGAGAAATGATTTACTATTTTTTGAACCATGTCCTTACCTTTTTTCCATCCTCTTCTACTTTCCTTTTTCTATTGGGGGGTGCTCTGTTGGGGAAGGGGAAGCTCCACTCAGAATGAGAGTAAGAAGCTACTGATAGTGTTCAATGCCTTGGATTTGGAGAAAACTCTGGTTGTCACAGAGGCAAGACTGGTACTGGCTACAGTGTCTAGAATTTTAGAGGGAAACCCATAAGGATATTTGTATTCTATTATTTGTGATCACTGTCCTTCTCTAGTCCTCATAATTTGACTCCCCATTGAGGTTTTAGTCACGTACTAACTGGTCATATACTAACTGGCCAGTGTGGTTAGGTAACCTTCCAAGCAGGGGCCATTACTGCAGGCTTCTCTCAGCTAGCCAGCATCCTGGAGTTTCTGAGTATCACTTTCTCAGAGCCCAGTTCAGGTGCTTGTTTGTTTTAAGTCAGCTTTCTTCCCTGAGTCTTTTCTGTAGTGAGAGCCGTAATTGTCCCTTCTCTTTGCCTGCAGAGCAATTTGTAGAGAAGTCGTCCTGCGCCCAGCCCCTGGGTGAGCTGACCAGCCTGGATGCTCAGGGAGAGTTCGGCGGGGGAGGTAGCAGCAGCCCTTCTTCCTCCTCACTGTGCACTGAGCCTCTGATCCCCACCACCCCCATAATCCCCAGCGAGGAAATGGCCAAAATCACCTGCAACCTAGAGACCAAGGAGCTGTGGGACAAGTTCCACGAGTTGGGCACAGAAATGATCATCACCAAGTCTGGCAGGTAGCTGGGTCTTGGAGGGTGGGATGCTGGCATAAAGAGATGCCAGGGTACTTGGGGCACTTTTGAGGACTGGACAGGATGACAGACATTTGGTGGACAGAGGTGGTATCTACTGGAGGCCCTCTACTAGAAGCTACTGCTTTCTATGTGCCTGACCTTTGGAAAGAGCTGAGGAAATGGATGTATGTGTTCCAGGGTTGTTAGAGGGAGCCACACTGACCTAGGAAGAAGCCACTGGGTTTCTCTCTCCCTCCCTGCACCCTGGAGGCCCTAGGTGCTGGGACAGAATTCCAGGGGTGCCTGGATTCAGGGCCACTGGGTGCTTTGAGGGAAGGGGGTGACTCCTCTTTAATCACACTCAATTTGCCAAAGCTGCAGCTCCTATTAAAAATGAACATTTAAACCTGAGGAATAAAATATAAAAGCTAAGAGTCAGGTTGGAAGGGTGGTCCCTCGGTCCAGGGCTGAGCAGGTCGGCTGACTGGAAGCTGCATGCAGGCTACAAAGGCCCTCACTGTCAGGGGCTTTGAACCTGGTTCTTTAAGCTCCCAGGATAGGCAATACCCGTGGGATTACACACACACACACACACACACACACACACACACACACACACCCGCCACCCCAAGAATCCCCACTCTTTCCTACGGACACACGTGTGTTGTAGAATTGTGTCAGATCTGACTACTTTGGGTCCTCTGGAGTCTAAAGTCCTTGATGACTTGATCCAATTACCGTTTCAGATTTTGGGAGGGTGAGAGCACAAAACTGACCTGGCAATGAGGTCTTGGCACTTAAAATCAGGTACCTGTGCAAAGAACTCCTGCCTCTTTATTGGCCTCTCTGTTGGCTTTCCAAGAAGTTAGAGGGGATCCCTGGGGAAAGTAAGAGGGTAGAGAAGGAAGGGATCGATCCTTCCCTCCTGCCTCAGTTGGGGCCAGGCCACTGTGACTGGTGAACTGAGCCCAAGTTCCCTCCTTCTCCCCCTCCCTCCCCTCACCCTCCCTCCCCTCATCCCTCCCTCCGTCTCTCCCTGGCCCTATGGGTCTCTTTCTCTTTGCCAGGAGGATGTTTCCCACCATCCGGGTGTCATTCTCAGGCGTGGATCCTGAGGCTAAGTACATCGTGCTGATGGACATCGTGCCAGTGGACAACAAGAGATACCGCTATGCCTACCACCGCTCCTCCTGGCTGGTGGCCGGCAAGGCCGACCCCCCACTGCCTGCCAGGTTTGTGTGCACATCCCTAAGCAACCGTATGGTCTTGAGTTCTGAGCTGGTTTGTGTTTAAAGTAGCCTGCTCTGTCCTGAGCTCTCCAGGCCTGTACAACTTCAGAATTGACTACAAAATACGTGGGTTAGTCTTCAAAAAGGCAGCTTGTGCATTCAAAAATTGTCTTTCATTTTGTCTTCCCTTCTGCTTGCTTGGGCAGCGCATACACATTTTGCCTTCCCTTATGAGCTGTTTCAGAGAGTTCCTTGTATTTCAGTTTGAAGATTCCTTAGAAATGTGAACCTCTTGATGTCTATAAAATTTCCAACTGGCTGCTTAAAACCAGACTAAGTGAACTCAAATCTTTTTTAGAAGAATGTATTTTAGCAACGTGGCTACTTACAGTAAATCTTAAAGACTTTGTTCTCAGTCAGTGCGTCCTATATGCACAAAATTAGCATCATTTGGTGAAATGTATTATTTTTTAAACCAGTAAAGGGTGCAGAGATTTTTAAAAGAAGAAAATTCTTTTATTCCCTGTACAATTTCAGGGGATGAATGAAATTCAGCAAGTTAATACTCTTTTATGTGAAACATAGTATAGTAGATATGATACGTATTTTTGTGGCAATTATTGTTTAGTGTTTTTCTGAGAGTGTTTTGTTTGAAAGAAAAATCATGTACAAACCTCTGTTGTTGTTGCTTTGCCCAAGTGGGTATGCTGAGGTTTTCAGAAAAGCATGTATGGCTTGAGAGCTGAAGTTACAGTAATCTATCCACAAGCTAATATAAAACAAAATATTGGTTGGTTTTATATTTTGAGTTCAAAAACCTCACCAATTTTATTTCATGAGCAAGATTCTTTTTTTTTTTATAATTGATTGAAAGGTCCTGACAGAACTAAGAATTTGTTTCAATGTACAGACTTTTTTTTTTTTTTAAGCTATGGCTGGTTCTTTGTTTCTAGTCTGAAGTCCTGTGAAGGTGCAGAATCAACATGATTTATACGTGCATCAGTTAGAACATTCAGCTTAATTAGCGGACCCCCATTATTGTTTGTAGTATACCAGGGGCACTGGGGAAGAGAGGAACATGAGTCTTTCAATTTTCCGTTCTCAAGTGAGGTTGGAAGCTCATCTTTGAAACCCTTCCAAATCAGTATTAAACAACAGAAATATTTTTAAAATTCCAGCTAATTTAGTTAGTTAGTTTGGTGTATTAAGAATGGAACCCAGGGTCTTCTCACTGAGCAACCTCTACAGATCTTTTTTGTTTTATTTTTAATTTTGTGGCACAGTCTTGCTGAGTTACTAAATAGCCCAGGCTGGGCCTGAATTTTCTATCCTCCTGCCTCAGCCTCCCAGAGTACTGGTATGTGCCACCATATCTAGACACAAGTCATTTCTTTTCATTGAGCAAGATGTGCCGGTTCACAACAGAAAATTCAATTAATAAAATTACTGCGTGTTTTTGACTATTTCATAGCCAATTTACTATGTTCTTGAGCTTCCTTACTAACTTTTCCATATTGTTTTAGACCAGAGAAAAGAGAGAGAAAGTGAGACAGAGAGGGACAGTAGTGTTTTAGCAGATTCCTAACCAGTCTTTTGTAAGCAAAGACTGGCTTTTTGTTTTGTTTTGTTTTTTGTATGGTTGTTGTTGTTTCCCCTGGGCTTTCTCCTAACAAGTTAATCACTCTCGTTTAACATGCATTTTCTTGCTATCTGAAGGTATGGGAAATGGTGCAGGCAGCAGACTTTGGAAATATGACATGTCTTGTTTATGTTACTAATCTGCTCTGGTTAGAGAAAGAAAGCGTATACCAGTGCACTATCTCAGCTGAAGCATGTTGAAGCTATTGCTGGAATTTTAAGTCCAGGGTGGGGGTGAAACGGGGCTTTGAGAGAAGAGGAGCTTCCTGTGTGTTTTCTCATTTACTGTACTTCTGCCTATTTGTATCAGTTTTGGATAAAAAATTATATAATGCATCATGGGATAGAAATATTCTGGATCATTTAAACAACTAGACTTTTTCTTATTATAAGAAAAATAGCAGCATTTTCTACTTCCATAAAAGAAAGGGGAAGAACCTGGGAACTGAGAATTTTTGCAGGATGGTAGAAATTCCTCGTATAGCGAGGTCATTGAGACTGAGATTCCCTAGTCATCAGTCCTTTCTTTTTAGAAGGAATAATGTTTAGCAATGTTATTTGAGTAACAGTTAGCAAGACATTATTCATGATCCAAAATAATGTTACATGTTCATATAGGGCATCTTCTCCTCTTTAAAGTAACTGATATTTAAATAACTTACTTTTATTAATGTGATTTTATATAGTGACTGTCATAAGAAGGAACATATCATCACTTTATAGGGCTTCCAGGGATTTTGGACATTTTGGGAGGCAGGTGGGACATAGTATTAATCAATAAAATAACTATGCCTTAAAAATTACAATTTTTTTTTCTATTTACTGGAAACCTCTTTTCCTTTTTCTTTTTACACAGAAAGACAGCCTTTGTGGAAATGGGCAGGGGATCTTGGGATAAGGAGGAGATGAGAGGGAGGAGAGGGGAAAGGAAAGGAAAAAACGACCCAGATGTGATATGTATATGTACCAGCTCCCTGTGATGAAAACATTTATTACATATCACTAACATATAGAATTTAATAATTAAAAATAAAATTACCACTTTAGGAGGATAAAGCTTGAGAAGCTATGACCAAATGTTCCTGTAGAAAAGCCATTATGAACTCCCCACTTAAAACAGTGGAACCCACAGGCAGGACAGAGCCCTGCAGTGTTTAGTCTTGTGTGGGTCTGCTCAGAGCCACAGCCCCGCCAGCCCATTCTGCTCCTGCCGGGCTTGGTGAGTTCCCACGCCCTTGAAGTGCAGTTCCTCTGAGCTTAGTCCTTTCTCATGACAAGCCACAGCTACTTCTGGTTCTTTATATGAATATTGTAAGGAAAAGTTTTCCTGACATTTTTCCCTTGCTTTTCCCCCAACCCAAATATTTATGCTTAATTATAGCTATAAGGACCCTATACAAAATATATGTATGAATAACCTGTAATACCCGTAAAGGAATATATCAGCACTGGCCTGGGGCTCAGTAATAGAATATATACGTGGTGCTCATTAGGTCCTGGGTTCAATCCCCAGCACCAGGGCGAAAAAAGGGATTTGTTCTGTTAAAGCAAAGATTTTACCCTCCTTATCCTTAGTTCTGAAATTTCCTTCTTCTTTTGGAAAGACGATGTCAAGAAGATACTAGCATTAGGATTTGCAGAGAGCTGAACTTAGAGGGATATAGCAGGGGAAGGAATGCCCTGTGTTTTACAGTGAGTAAAATTGTGCCTTGAACGTAGCAACAGATCCATATAGGATAAAAGGGTTTTTTCTCCTGCGTAAGCTGTTTATAAATCAATCAGCTGAATAAATCAAAGCTTATCCAGCCTTAAATGCTCATTTAGTGAGTACATTTACTGATCTGATAAGAGTATGTGGTAGTGTTTTAAGTACCAGGAGGAGCAACAGACTCTTCCTTCTGATCTGTGGGCTATTGAACATTCCCCTGAACTGGGTTTGGTGGTGCATTCCTATAATCCCAGGATTCTGGGAGCCTGAGGCAGGAGAATGGCAAATTTAAATCCAGCCTGGACTCCTTAGTGACTTAGTGAGATCCTGCCTCAAAGTAAAAAATAAAAAATGAACTGGGGATATTACTCAAGTAAAATATGCCTGAGTTCACTACCCACCACTAGTGGAAAAAAATCTCCAGATATCTGTGCTAAAATCACTGTCTTGTATTTGTAAAGTATTCATGCTTTCAACGGAGTGACTTAAGCTCAGACAAATGTGTTCTCTAAAATTATTTCTTCTTTCAGTGTTTTCGTTGCTCTTCAGTGAGGCTTGTAATAGGAACTCATGCAGTTAGTGTAACCTAGACTTTTTTGGGAAAATGCCTACAACAATGAGCTTTTCATATCTGATAGACACAGAACAGTAACTAACTACATAGATGAAACAAATGATCCATCTATAAAAATTGGCTTACTCAGCACATAGTAGATTTATTAAGTTTCCCCCCTTTCAGATCATTGGTACATGAAGAAATGCATTAGATGTTTCAGAGTTATTTTGGCATTGCTGTGTTAATAAATTTGAGATATGTGGAACCAATAGACCAGGACATGTCTAAGAGGCTACTGTGTTCCTTTAGAATGAGTACATTTTATAACCCAGAGACAGACTTAAAAAAAATCTTAATACAATTTTCTCATAATTTCCTCAGACTCTATGTGCACCCTGATTCTCCCTTTACTGGTGAGCAGCTACTCAAACAGATGGTGTCCTTCGAGAAGGTGAAACTCACCAACAATGAACTGGACCAACATGGCCATGTAAGTGTGAGACACCTTGGCTGTGTAGGGTCCCCTGGATGGATGTGACCAGCCACACCAAGTGTCCTCTCTTTGGTCCTTCTCCTCTCCCTTCTCCACCTTCACTCTCCATCTCTGAGTCATTGGGTGAGCGCATGGGTGTGTGTGTTCTTTAGGGGATCATGACTGCTTTTGTACAGAATTTATATATAGGGATCTGAGGTCCCTTTCCATGCAGAAGGACCTTGGCCCTTCTGCATCATGGATTTCCTAGCGGGCCTGCAGCTGCTTTGTTATGTGAGCCAGGGAAACACGCAGAACATGCACTTTTGGAGGAGACCTGCAGCCTCTCCTTAGGTTAAGCATCTGATAAATGATAGTAGGACATAAACACAACATAAAGAGGGTGGGTTCAGACCTCCTGGGGTCCTGTCAATGTGCAGAACACATTCCTGTGAGATGCAACAGAATACAAGGGCAATCTTGCCAAAGGAATTTACAAAAGTGCTTTTTACTCATTATGTGTCATTTTGGTAGGGCCTGATCTAACCCGCTGAGGTAATCCCATGTCTGTAATCACAGCACTCTGGGAGGTAAATTCAAGCTCATCTTGGACAACTTGACCCTGTGTCAAAATGGAAAGATAAAAAGTTAAGGATGTAGCTCAATGTGAAGGCCCTGGATTAAATCTCCAATATGGCTGGGAGAGAAAGCCTCTTTGCAATGAAAAGCAAAACACATTTGATTTTGTGTCAGTAGAATTCATTGAAGTATGAATTAAAAAGAGAAATTCTGAACTCTTATCAGTAGTTAATAGAATAGGCAGTCACTGATGAAGGCCTGGGCACAGTTTATACAATTCTTTTTTAAGAGGATGTGATTCAGTGCTCTTAAATAAAAATTACACATACATTCTGTTTTAGATTTTATGTTAAGAAAACTTGCAGACTTACAAACTTCTTATTAAGTTGTTTTGTTTTCTGCTCCCATTGTCAGAAAGAGCATGAATCCTTCCATTCGTACTGTACTTTTTTCTCCCTCTTTTTTCTCTCTCTCTGTCTCTCTGTCTCTGTCTCTCTGTCTCTCTCTCTCTCTCTCTCTCTCTCTCTCTCTCTCTCTCTTTCTTTCTAGTAGCGGGACTGAACCCAGGGCCTCTCACTGAACTACATTCCTGGCCTTATTCAAGAATTACTTTATTTAATTGATATATGTTTTCAATACATGAAATTTACATTTGTTTCAGAGGCTGTCTCTCTATCTATGTCTTAGTCATTTTTAATCTTTCACCTTTATTTTCTTCTTCATTTATTTAGCTTCTTATGTGAATGAAACCAAGCAATTTTTAAAATTTTGCATCTGATTTATTTCACTTAACATCATGGTCTCAAAATCCATCTATTTTCCTATAGATGACGTGAATTTATACTTCTTTGTGGCTTAATAGAATTCCGTTGTGTATATATACACCATGTTTACTTTATCCATTTGTCCACTAATAGGGATCTAGATAGTTTTCACATTTTAGCTATTGTGAGTCTCACCGTTATGAACATGTGTATGTGTGTATCATTGTAACATGGTATTTTTAACTCTTCTGGGAAGATAACCAGAAGGCAGATAGCTTTGTCAAATGGAGTTTCTACCTTTAGTTTTTTGAAGAACCTTCACATTGGTTTCCATAGTGATCATACCAGTTTACATTCCCACCAACAATGGTAGAAGGATTTCATTTAACCCACAGCCTTGCCAGAATTTGATTTATATATATATATTCTTGATGATGGCCATTTTGATTAGGGTGAGATAATCTCCGAGTTGTTTTAATTTGCATTTCCTTAGTGGCTACAGATAATAACATTTTTCCTATGTTTATTGGCCATTTGTACTCCTTTTAAGAAATATCCATTTTATTTACTCTTTTTTTTTTCTTTTGGAATGGGTTATTGAGTTGGACGATTCTTTTTTAGTCCTTTATGTATTTCTGGGTATTAGTCCTCTACAAAAAGAGTGGCTGGAAAAATTTTTTCCCATTGTGCTTCTCCACTGTTAGTAAACATGGTATTTTCCTGGTCTCCTTCCTTGGCATAGATAATTTGGTATAATTATTCTCTCTTGTATTAAATAAAGCACTCATTATGTAAGGTTTTAGTTTTATCAGATCTCTGCAATATAAAGGAAGTGCTTTAAAATCTTCCTCAAGATGGATTTAAGTAAATAATAAATTAGAGACTTCTAGATATGGTTTCAGATGGTTGGCTTGACCTGGAAACAAATAAGTCACTTACAGCTTTCCCCATCATCAAACAAGAAAGTCAGGAATCAACAGTGTAAGGTAGGACTGTGGACAGTGCTGTTAAAATACTGTATTAAGAGTAGGTTAGTAACCTTCTGGGCTTTTCTTGAATTTAAAAATTAAGTTTATTGATACAATTTAGATATAAATAATGATCACATTCGTCCTAGAGAGTTCATACCTGTATCTGATGCATTTTTTAGTGCTCTTTTTTTCCCAACCCCCTCTCCTCCCTTTAACCCCTCAACCTTCATGTATTTTTACATCTTAGAAAAGATATTTGACTTTTATGGGTGTTGTCGTAATTTTCTTTTATCTCTTTTTAAAATGTAGGATGCTTCCATTCACAGATTTTTTTTAGGTTAATGTATGAATTGTGGACTATTTGAGAGAGAGAAAGGTACTGAAGCTTGAACTCAGGACTCTAACACTGAGCCACATCCCAAACCCTTTTAAAATTATTTTGAGATGAGGTCTCTCACCAAGTTGTTAAGTTTTCCAAGCTGATCTCAAACATGTGATTCTCTTGCCTCAACCTCCCGGACTGCTGGGATTATACTTATGCACCACAATCCTGGCTTGAGTGATATTTTTTTTATAAATTAGTGATCACTCTCAACCTCATTCATATTAAAATTTATTGGACTCCACCTGAAATATTTGCATGAAAACAGACATTTTTTCTGGTCCTCATATTTTTCTGCATGTGAAGATTTCAGAAGAATGATTTGGATCTTTGCAGAAAGACTTGATAGTTCCACTTTCCAAAACAAAAATGTTTTTTTTCTTTTAGGATCAGTTTCATGGGTGGGAACGGTATAAACTGAATTTCAGGAGCTCCGAGTTCTTGCCACATGATTCCAAGATTAGATCCTAAAGAATTGTTTAGTCTTAGGTGGTTTTTTATAACCATTTTAGCTTCAGAACTTTTATGATTTAATATAACCTTTTGTTATTGCAATTAGTATGTTCTGAAAAGTACAATGAAGGGTTTTTAGATACTGTGTTTAGCCATTTTTTAAAGCAGTTATGAAGAACTCTTACAGATGCATTTAGTTTTATAACAAATTATTCATTGATTTCTTCAGTGAAGCAGCATCCACATTTCCACTAGTGTTTCTCAGCCTCATGAGGAGAGAGTCAGGAAACTGGGGTCTGATCAGCTACCAGTCCCAAAGGCACTTGGCCTGGGGTGAGGGGTTAAGGAGTGGGGAGGCGTTATTTAAAGCTCAGGCTTTTCCATTTTAGTACGTGAGTACATGCTTTGAAAATTCATCTCAGTTTGGGTAGGTGAGTATGTGCTTTGAAAACTCTTCCTGTTTTTTCAGTAGAGTAAATCAGGATTGTTGAAAAATTTTTTCTGAGTGACAAACGCTTGCTTTTATTGCTTCAGGTTTATTCTACTTTTGTGATTAAGCATGGATATTTTGAACTCATTAAATGCATAAATGAATAAATGCATTATACAAGGAGATGACATCATTTTTAAAGTTTGTTTTGATTCATTGAGGATCTCATTTGTTTCAGTTGTTCCTGTTCTAGTTTGAGATCACACAAAGTAACATGTGCAAACTCAGTCTCCCCCACCCCTAGTTCATTTTAAGATGGCTCAAAAGTTAGAGACTGGCAACAAGAAATTTGTTATATAGAATATTCCACCATATTCTCAGGAGCTTGATTCTAGGATCCCCTAAGAGAAGCAAAATTTGTGGATGCTCAAGTCTCTCATAAAATAGAATTGTATTTGCATATAACTTCTTATATCTCTTAAACCATTTCTAGAGTCCTTATATTCCTAATACAATGTAAATACTACAAAATGAGATGTTTTGCTGTATAGTTTAGGGATTAATGATAAGAATAAAATCTGCATGTTTAGTACAGAAGCAATTTTTTAAAGAGATACTTTTGATTCAAGGTTGGTTGAATCCACAGAGGTTCACAGGTATACCAGTTGTCTCACTGTGCTTACTATTTAACTCAGCTGAAACCAGGAAAAAAAAAAAGGGAGCCATCAGTCACAATATTAGCAGCAGCTACCAACACTGAATGCCATCGATCCCACCATGCCATTTATCAAATTCTTCTCCCACGAGTCTCTCCTGGGAGCTTGGTGGAACATATGCAATGTGTCCCAACCCACCCATCCCAGCCAAGAAAGACCCAATTTTGCAAATTTAGGTAGAGATTTACATGCTGGTAGAGAAAAGAGGGGGAAATTTTATGTCTAAAATTGAATTTTGTCACTCAGATTTCACACTAGCAAATGTTTGCATTTTGTTTAAAAGATAAAAGAAAAAATACAGTCTCTTAGCTGCCTTGTTAACCAGAATATGTTTATGATTTCTAAGAATTTGGCAGCTTCTATGAGCTACAGAATGGGAGATGGCCATTCCTGCGATTGAGGTTTTAGTTTTATAACTAGAAATTAGGAATCAAGGGCACTGTCACTGTCATAATAATACAGTTCTCAGTCACAGAGGACTTGTTGTTTCTTGTGTGCTTTACTAGGTTACATTGTCTCAGCCTCATGAGGTTGCTACAGCTTTTGAATTTATTTTTTATTTTTATTTTTATTTTTTTTATCAGTACCGGGGATCGAACTCATGACCGCCTGCTTACAAGGCAGGTGCTTATGCCGCTGAGCTAAATCCCCAGTCCCAGCTTTTGAATTTGAGAAACCCAAAAGCAGGAGAGGTTAGCTCTAGTTAAAGAACTAGAACATGGAGATTTGGGATTCTCACCCAGGTTTTCTCCCCCTGCCCCCTACCCCCAAATAACAACCTGGCCTTCTAAAATACATAATATTTTAGTTTTAAAAACATGGATGTACATTTTTTGGTCTAGCTAGGCTAACAAAAATAAAGACTAGAATTTAAGAAATAAATAAAATGTATCCTCTACATTGCCTCTATACCTTTTCATTTTAGAAAGAGCCTTGAAACAACCTATATTATTCTCAGGTTTTGGTAAAATGTGATTCACAATAATGATTCCACTGTCTCATGTGAAAATGATGGTCCTAACAGAGGAAAGGATAGATCCTAATCTTCAAATTGAATTTGAAATTTAAATTTTATGGTTCTGGCTTTGCCTGCATATACTTTGGCCTGTTTAGCAGCATGAGTCTGTACAATTGAGTGCTTCCCTTCTGTTCATCACAGATAATTCTGAACTCCATGCATAAGTACCAGCCTCGGGTGCACATCATTAAGAAAAAAGACCACACGGCCTCACTGCTCAACCTGAAGTCTGAGGAGTTCAGAACGTTCATCTTTCCAGAGACCGTCTTCACGGCCGTGACAGCCTACCAGAATCAGCTGGTGAGTACAGGTCCTGGGGGGCTCCTGCAGAAGACTGGGATGTGATATTCAGGATGGGGTACACTTTGGAGAAAGGATTAGATGGCGGCCCTAGAGCCTCTCAGAGTGTGTTTGATGGCCACAGACCACATCACCTGCTTTTCTACAATCTTTGTGCTCTAGGTCCAGTGACTACTGGCTACTCTCTGGCTCAAACTTGTCCTAATCTGCCACCATTCTCTGTTTTTCCTATTTTTCTTTTTCCTCCCTCCTCCTTTCCCCATTTGTCCTCCTTCTCCCTTTTCACTTCCTCCTTATCCCCTACCTCCTTCTTTTCTCATGTAGAGACTGAAATCAGAGCTTCACAGTGGGCTACATTTCCAGCCCGGCTTATTTATTTGAGACTAAGTCTTGCTAAGTTCCCAGATTGCCCTGGTTGAGTGCTGAACTTAAACTTAGGAGACTCCCACCTCAGCTTCCCAGGATGTCATCTCCTCTCAATTTGATTCTGATGGGCTCTGAGACATCATTTTCAGAGGATTTCAGTTCTTTTTCTTCCCTCTCCTCCCTCTCCCCTTGTCCGTCTTCTTTTAAATAAGCCTTCACTGCTTAGCTGCTGCCACAGGATGCTGTTCACAGGAACTTTGGCAAGTGTGACAGGCGGGTCTCCTCCTAAACTGCAGGTAGCTAGCTGCCAGGCCTAGCTGCAGCCAATAGGAGCCACTTGTATTAATGACATTATCTCTTTAGTTCTCTTCCACTCAACCTTTTAGTTAGAAAAATTTCAAGCATACGAAAAATGAACCCCATGTACCCACTACTCAGATTCAACAGTAACATTTGCCCCAGTTTGCTTCCCTTTCTCTCCGTTGCCTCTCCTTTGGTATACACACACACTTTCCCCTCCCCTGAATCATTTGACACAAGGATGTATGACACCAGGAAACACCTCCTATTATTTTTGATCCACAATATCTTCATTGCTGCTAAGAAAATTAATAAGAACTATTCCTTAATATCACTTAATATTCAGTTTAATTAAAAATGTTGGATGGATCAGTAATTGCCTTTATAACCATTTTTATTTTGCTCTGAGGGCTAGGGTCCAACTAAAGTTCATGATTGGAATTTATTATTTTGAATTGAGAAAAATTTCTCACATTTTCAAAAATAACCTTATTGAGTTCTGACACAATCCTCCAAAGAAGCTCTGAGTATCATTCAAAAGATAAAAGTAAAAAAATACCCTGAGGTTTGCAGTGCTTAGGACACTGGCCCAAGACCATAGTTTTGATAAGTGACAAGACCTATCATGAAGTCTTGCTATTTTGCATCTTAATTCCTTTGTTTTGGTGGCATCATGATATATTGTAAGATCAAGGAGGTGGCCATTGCCACTGTCAAACATTTGAAAACTGAGTTTGAAAACTTGCTAAATTAAAAAAGATTGATTTTAGTTAATGCAGATGCCAATGCTGATTGCTCCTCTTGATATTTATTTCTACTTGATATTATAAATGGACTCAAAGTTCACCTACAAGAACCCTGCCACCCTTCATTGGATCACAAAGTATAAAGATTAATATGATTATCGCATCATTCCATTGCTGAGTATCCCACAGTGGTAGCAACTAAGTTCAGAATTAATTTCCTCAACAGACACTTCTGTCTCTGAGTTTATTTCTATACAGCCAGCATTAAAAGCATAGACCTTAACTTAAAGCCAGATATACATCTTAATTAATAGTTAAAGCCTTGATTTGACATTCTGATAGGCCAGTTTTCCAACTGGTTTATAAATGAGTCAAAATGCATATGGTAGACACTCAAAAATCATGTGAATGAATAATTTGTGCATTACCATTTTTACTAATTCTATGTCATTTTTAAAGTTATCCTTAACTCTTTCTAACCTTTCTCACATCAATTGCTTCTTTAGGACTGTACTAAGCTTGGGTATTAGTTTTCCTAACCAGGTAGTATAAACATGTGAGATTAAACAAAATAAATATATACTATTAGCACTTTTACATGCACAAAGAACCAATATGAAGTTTATTCTTAGGAGCACTTTCATATCCCTTAAACTTTGGATAGAACGGTTATTATTATGTTTGTTAAAATTGAAATTGAAATTTGTAATAGAATTTATGAGAAAGAAACATTTCTCATTCCTTAGGGTAGTCGCTTTATTTATAAGTAGTTAAAATGGGATCTTCTTTGCAATTTCTTTTTCTGGTTTTTTGCAAGGGGATGATTGTATTTCTTTCCATTATTAGGTAAAAGCTAAATACATTACACTTTCAACAAACTATTTTATAATTTAAGATTTAAAGGTCAAGCATGTCTTCTGTGCAGGCAAATCATTCTGTAGAGTTGAAGTGTAGGTCATGTTTCGTTTTTAAATGCCTTTGGTCAGATGTTCCCTCAATAACTGGAGAAATAGTCCCTGAGGGCCAATTTGCCCCATGGCTGGGAAGCCCACTGGACTCCAGTCCTAGGATGCCCCAGGGAGGCAGAACTCTGCAGAAGCCTCCTTCCACAGGCACAGCTGGTGCTGTCAGAATCTGCCTGCCCTCCAGTGACACTCATGTTTCTTTGAAAATGGAGATGCTGAGAGAGGGACACTTCTGGTTAGGGGATGTGTTATGTTCTACATTGTTACCATGTTTCACGAGGAAGCAGGGTTGTGCTGAGGCGTTAGCTAGTGTGTGTGTTGAGAAGTTCTCAATGAAGATTTCTAAAGCACATACTGCTGTCTTTACTCATTAATACTTTCTCTGCTGCTTTACAATTTTTCTTTGGAGTAATAAAGAAGCCACACTCTGGCTCTCAAGCATGATGTTTAGCGGATGATTCATTGATCCATTTGCTAAGATTGAACCCAAGGTCTTCACATTAACTATATCTTCAGCCATTTTTAAAAATTTTTTTAAAAAGACAGGATCTTACTAAGTTGCTAAGTTGCCCAGGCTGGTTCAAATTTACAATCCTCCTGCCTCAGCCTTTGAAAATACGGGGATTGCAGGTGCATGCCACTACCCCCTACCTGGATTCAATTTTGATACTTTAGTATGACCTTTGACAAGGGTGCTATTGTCTGATGGCCTGACAAGCTGCAAGTGCCCTCTATTACAGCAGGAAAGGACTGATGTTCAGCTGTCCGCAGTCACTGGCTATAATTCAGCTCCTTTTGTCATCAGTTCCCAATTTGCTACTTTTTCAGTTATCACAGATTTCATAGAACTGGACCTTCAAAAGGGAATTTCTTTTGGTATATCTACTGGGTTTCTATTTAAGCATTGTAGAATAAAATCTCTGTCTGATGTTTTAAATACATATGGTTAGCTAGAATGTAAACATTTTACTATTTAAAAGTTATTTTGCCTTAAAATTTAAAAAACAATTATTAAATGCTTTTGAGTAAACACAGAGTTCCACTTGGGTTGTAACTGCTTAAAAATGCCTCATATTTCTGACTGCTTGTTTTTGAAATAAAGCTCAATAAACCTTTCCTGTGGATTATGGATTATGGGCACTTGAAAGATTCTGAGTACACCTGGATTCCACTAACTTTGGTGGACTCACTAATAAATTTAACCTACAGACCCTGAGCTGCTGATTCGTACTTGAGAAACCCAAAGTATAAATAATTTAAAGACCAAAATAAAAGAGAGCTATTACAAAATAGAGAGATTGATCTTTTGCAAATGGGAAAAGGAACTAGAGATGGAGGGGAGAGGAGAAGGAGAGGAAGAGGAAGCAAAAAAAATAATAAAAAGTGTTATGTACATCTACTGGCTCCTCACAATGAATATATACACAGTGTACATCAAATATGTACTGAGAAACATAGAATAAAGGATATGCAGGCTTAAAATATGGGCTGGAGATATAGCTTAGAACTTCCTAGATTTAATCCAAAAAATTAAAATAAAATAAAGCAAAACAAAACAAAACAAAATAAAACAAAATATAAAATATTGAGGGCTGAGGGGTTATTTTAGCAAGGTAAGTGCTGCCTTGCAAGCACAAGGTCACCAATTCAATCCCCAGTACATATATATAATATATATAACATATATATATATATCATATGCTCAGAGTCCCCATGCAATTTTAGTGACAATAAATTTACTCAACTTTTTCCCCTCTAACATATGAATGCAGTTATTTTTCCCTGAAACTAGGTAAAGTGGTCCATGAAGAAAATAAGTGTCTGGTAAATACCCTGAATCCTTTTCCTAACTAATATCCTAACTTTAAATCATTACCAAATCTGATTTGGCACTGTATGCTATTCTTGAAACTTTTCTAAAGTTTGAAATTCAGAGTGTAGAGAAAAAGTTAGCATTGATACTGTGAGGGGCTATGAAAACTCAGTTTGAAAGCTATTGGAAATAGATAATTCTAATAATGAAAGAAAATTCACAGAAACCTGAAAACTCACATTCAATGTTCCTGACCTCTCTGTTCAGTTACAGCAGTAGCATTAGATAAGGTGACAGACACTTAGAGTGAACGACACACGTGTGTTGAGAGCAATACTCTGAGGATGTGAGGGGGTGACACACTCATCCCATCCCGGGATGTTCCACGTGGAAATGTGAAGAGCAGACAGGAGCTGAAATTCTTCTTCAGGGACAAAGTTTCTGACCATTGTAGCAGAAGGTTCTTTCTGTTCTGGTTAATATGCAGCCAGACCCTGCGCTGGCTCACCGTGAAGAGGGCGGCTGTAAAAGAACTTTCAGTAGTAGTTTCTCATTCAGATACAAAACTCGAGACCATCTCCAGGAACCTGGAGCTTCTGCAAACCCATTCCCTCTCCGGGCTCAGAAATGTGCGGCTGGAAGGAAGACTCACCTTTGTTGCTCTGTCCCGTGCTTCCAGTTGGGAATTCTAATCTGAGTTTAATTTACCCTTAATGTCGCTAGATCCCAGGAGTGGGCACCACCTTCCCATCCTGCTTAGCAGGTGACTCTACCTGCTCTGAGATGCTAAGCTCCCTTAGCTAAGAAATCACTCATCCTTTATCCAGGTCCTATTTGGCATCTTTCAGTGAGCTGGTGAGGTCACCAATCTCCATTAAGTGGTCAGTTGTTGATGAAAGATTGGGAGGGCATGTTTGTGGACTGTAAAACACTTTGGAAGTAGAACATATTTTAAATTATCAGTGTTCTGTAGAAAGGGACTCAGCGCATGTTTTTGAAGATTTTTAAATCTTGTTGGTACCTGTAAGATTAGAACAAGTGCATTTCCAGGACTAAAGATATTTACAGTTTTCGTTAAATGAATACAAATTTCTCTTTCTTCCCAAAAACTGACCTTCAAAATAATGCCTGCAGCAGACAATGCCTCAGGAAGCAGCAGCCCTGTGCAAGAAGTGTTCTCTACAAACTCTTGATAGGTACCTCATAGAGGTAGCACTGCTGTGACATCCCGTCCCCACCCCCACGAAAGCAGGGATCAAACCCAAGAGCCCTCTTCCACTGAGCTGTATCCCTATCCCCTTTTATAATTTTTATTTTCAGACAGTTTTACAAAGTTACCCAGATGAAACTTGAACTTGCCATCCTCCTGCCTCAGCCTCTCACAGTGCTGGGATGGCATGTGTGCCCCACCATGCCCAGCTGACTCCTATACATTTCTTTAGGTGCATGCCCTACAGGGCTTTGCTTTCCATTGCAAACACGTTTCTATTCCCTATCATATTTCTTTCATTCTCTACTGATTTCCATAACTAGGCTGAAATGGAAGTCACTTATTTTCTTAGCTGCTGTACAGGAAATGTTCACGGACTACAATGAGCACTTTAGAGACACTTGCAAATGCCCTTCAAGACTGATATTTTTCCAGAATCCATCTTACAGATGCCACTGGTACTGACAGGGCAGAGAAGTTTACCAAATTAAAATTGTTTTGGTGGGGGAATTTCTTGAAAAGGAGGGTTAGGGTCAGGGTGAGTCTGAGGGCTGGATCAGTTTTATTATAATTCTGCAGGTTCAACTCACGTTAGCAAAACGTGTAAAAGAAAAAATTCTCTTTCTTATATTAAAAAGAGAAATTTGGGGGGTGTTGACGGTTTAAAGTGAACTGTGGGTATACTCTAATGTAAGGATAAGTTGCCTCTGGAAATGTAATATTTCAAACTCTGAGTTTTGTTGGGTCGTTACTCCATCAGTTTTTCTTGTTTCAGAGCATTTTGAGTCCATTTCTCTCCAAAGGTGAATGTGGGCTCTGCTTCTGATGCTCGCGAGCTCCTGCTCTCATGAGCCTCTCCCTGGATTCTAAGTCAGTTACAGACTATGGTGTCTCAGTCCTCACCCTCTTTGTGCCTCAGTGTGACCATCTGTCAGTCAGGGATGTGAGCCCAAGCTCTCTAAGGCTCCTTTCAGTGCTCATGGGGGTTTTCCACATAAAGGAGGTTTGAAGAAGTGTCTCCTTTACTGAGGTGTCTTCCTTAGGAGGAGGGAGGTGCCTGTGGTCTATGGAATCTTCTGCATTCATTGAATCCTGAATGTTGACAGATGCCCTGGCATAGACACTTAATGCTTGAGACAGCCATCCTTACTAGAAAGTGTTTGTTTCCATAAAAACGTAGCATTCTGTAAATTACACTGCATGGAAGGAAACAAAGGGTGGGCTGCTTAGATTCTAATTTAGTCAAATGGAATGAATTTATGTGCTGAAGGCTTCCTGCTGTGTGTTTTTGTAGCGTTGCACATGATGCTGTTATTGGACATTTCATCTTTTATCCACCTTGGCATATGTACACGCTCACAGTATTAACATAAGGTGTTGCCAAGTCAGAATGAGACAATGTTTTTGCATATATTCCCCATTTTTCCTGGAATTCTGGGATTCTACCCAGCTCCCCTTAAGATGGTTCCCACTTCCCTGGTTGAGCCATTACCTGTCATTACTGTGTCACATATGTCACACCCTAGTTCTTTTCCACCTCACCTGAAAGTCCCCCAGACTAACTAGCTCCAGTTTGGCTGTGAGCCATTCTTCCCGCGAACTTGTCTAGTACTTTACCCTGCTCATGATGCTGAGAGACACTGAGATATTCTTGGGGTGCTATAAAAATGGAGAAAATTTTTGTTTAGGATTTTAGTTTTTGACTTCAGAAATGAGATTGTTTTGTACCCATTCTTTTCTTTCCAGATAACCAAGCTGAAAATAGACAGCAATCCTTTTGCCAAAGGATTCCGGGACTCCTCCAGGCTCACTGACATTGAGAGGTAATGAGAAATTTTCTGTTTACTTTTTCGTCTATATAAGATAAAGACAAGAGTGCGTTTGTAAGGACACATGGGTTGTGATGTCCCGGGACACTAACCTTATTCTGTCTGGTCTCTGGGTCTCTGTGTCCTTCCTTGTAGCTACAGACCTTGCAGATGCACAGCTGCCCCAGCCTTATGAGCTCTGCACTGAACTGTCATGTGCTCAGTTTCTAAGTGAAGGCCTTGCCTAGGTCAGGGCACACATTGACCATAAACATAGGACTGATGTTGTCAGATACTTAGTCCTCTTGATGTTATAAGCTCTGGATTTTGATGAGTGACAGCCTGCAGAGAAATGGCACTGTGATGGCCTTTTTCCTTGTGAAGTGGATATATTTGCAAAAAGTGTAAGGTAATTTGGAATTCTGAAACAAGGCGATGCCATTTACTTCAAGATCACATAATTTTACCTGTAGAGTAGACTACCTGCCTTTCATAGGAGAAACAGCAGGACCCCTAGGAAGACCAGCGGTAATTGTTGACCTGTAAGTTACCCCACTTTAAACTACAATGGTTCCTGCAGTTTGAGACCACCCAGGTGAGGCACATGACCACATGGGCATCCACAGTTTGTCCAATACAAATGTGAAAAATGTCTTTTTCAGAGAAATTTTCAACCTGTCCGTCACTTGTATGTCTGAAACACATTAGTTTTCTACACTAAATCTTCTTTTGTGGCCCAGTGTCCTCATCAGCAGGTGAAATACTGAGACAGTGGCCCTCTGATTCACTGTCCTTCACGTTTGTGTGATTTCCCCCCCTCATGGGCACATTCCGCCACTGTGCAACTCTGTGCTGCCTACCATATGGCCACAGCTGACCTCTACATTTCTGCTCAGCCTCTCCTGGCCACTCAACATAAGGGCCAGTTCCATGTTTCAGCAGCCTGGGTCTGGTTCATCCTAAGTCTTCCCAAGTGGCAAAAGTGATGGGTGGGGTGAGGGAGACATTTAGAGGCTGAGGGGGGAGTCAGAGAAGTCAGCGAGACCCGCCTACCATTGGACAAAACTGTGCGATTGGAGTCAAAAAGAGAGATTAATTATTCAGAGAGGTTGTGGGTGATGAGATCAGGGAAGGAGACTGGGCTGCTGGTGGAAAAATCCACTGCACAGTGCAGGAAGAAGGCAGAGGGCGGCTCTCTGTTGAGGGGGAGGGAGTCAGTGAGAAAGGGCCAGCAGCAGCCTGGACAGCAAGCAGGCTCCTTACCAAGGCTCCTTCCTTTAGAAATGACTTTCCTGTTCTCTTCTGAGTGTCTGAAGCTGAAGCTCTGATGCAGCGGAGCTGTGTGATTGCAATGATTTTGAGTGATCTTTTTCTCAGTTTAATTGGGATTTGAGTAAGAATAGAGACCAGGGCAAGGTGGGGGCGATAGCACTGTGTTTTCATAGTGCTGGTCGCACCTTCTGTCCCAGGTGGGCAGGGAGGCTTGCTCTGCTGGGAGGAAGTGGTTTCGGGGCAGAGATGCAGCTCTGCCTTTTGCTGGGCGATTGATGGTGGAGAAGTCACTGAATTTTAGTTTCTTCATCTAGAAAATGGAGACAGTAGTCCTGTGGTTCAAAGGTTTATTGGGACATCAATTACGACAACATTTACAGAAGCACTCCGTGAATCACACAATGCACAACAGCGCTCTAAGTTCCTCATCTTACGAGCCTTGGGTGGAACAATTTGTTTACTACCAAGGTCTACTTTTATTGGTCTTCATGGATTCCTCCTAGAGTAAAAATAGCCTTGCAGTCACACTCATGGGCATGAAGTAGGAGGACCCAGCTGTCCTCTGAGAAGGGCAGAATTGATAGAGCATGGGGCCACATTTCCCACTCTTTGAAGTGTCCTGACCCAGGAGCACTCAGCACATACACGTGAGGTGAAGTAGCTTTAATGGTCTGAGGGTCAAGGTGCACTCTATGAGAACAGCTGAAAGTTTGCAAGATGACATAAGGGGGTGTGAAACTGGCCAAGGTTTTGGATTTCACTTCCAGGTATTTAAGTCTGAGTTTTTCCTAAACAGCCTTTGGGGATGGGACAAATCAGATCAATTGATCTTTAGAGACCTAAAGAAATTAAATTAGTCTGGAGTCAGTTACTGCACTAAACCATCTCGTAATTGAATTGCTTCTTGTAACTGATTGAAAACAGCCCTATCTGTAACAATATTGGGAGCTTTTCTTTCTAAGAGATCTGAGAGAAAAACACATCTTTTTATGACATGATGACAGATATTGCACTTTTCTAACCTAATTGAATATGATGTTATAAATATGTGACCTTAATGATTTCAAGTTTCCTGTTCCAGATTTATAACTTATTATGTGGGACAACTAACCAAAAATGCCTTTAGGTTGGATCTATTTGCCTATACCTTGAAGATCCAGTTTTGTTTCTTCCATAGGCACAGGCTGTGGGATATTCTTAAATACAATAAGGTTTCTTCCTGTAATTTTACAGCGTATTTTGTGTGTAGCCTTACTTTCTAAAAGAATTTGTTTTCATGGATTAAAGCCAGGGCTTTTGCATGAGCTATGTCTTCAACCCTTTTTAATTTTTTATTTCTGGGCATGGTCTTGCTAAATTGCTACATAATCCAGGCTGGGCTTGTTTGCATTTATGATCTGCCTGCCTGAGCCTCCTACAGCGGTAGAATTACAGACCTATGCCATGATTCACAGTTTACTGGTACTCTTTGGGTACAGCATCTTCCCCTTTGAAAGCTCCTCTCCCTATCAGAAGGAGAAAGTATAACTTCTGTGACCAGCTAAGTAGCAGGCTACAAAGCCCCAAGGGATTCCTTTATATTTTGTGACTCCTAGTGATTTAGATCTGGGAAATAATCACTGCCGGCCACACATAACCTATAGAGAGCGGGCCAGTGGCGTACAGTGCACAGAGGTGCAGCGTTACTTCTGAGAGAGGAAAGCTAACTGGGATGTGATTTGTATTTTCTTTCAAATTAAATTTCTTTCATTAATTTATTTCCTTGAACAAAAAGTTCATGCTCATTATAGAAAAAGTAGAAAGACAAGCAAGAAAGACAAAAGGTGACAAATCCCATTTGCTCAGAGATATCACTGGCAAACCCTGGACCCATTTTCCAGATGCTGTGCTGGGCATGCATGGAACATTCTCTCCTTTAAAGTTCATCAAGCTGCACGTGTTATTTACGTCCTCCCCCATTCACCTTTAGATGTAAGTCTGCATTACACTTTGCTGTGGCTACTGCATTTTTCTTCCTGTGCCATAAATTTATTTGACCAATCTCATATGTTAGGTTTTTTTGCCATTAAAACCAGTACCATAAGAAAAATGTATTTCTTTACACATATTTTATTGGGACTCTAGGGTAAACACAAAGATGATAAGTCAAAATATGTCCTTTTTCTACTTTTTTAGTAATATATTTAATATTAAAAATTTGGGAAAAACCTAAATGCTTAATAGTGGACAAACGGCTTAATAAACTTTATATTCATGCACTTTAAATCTGAAAAATAGTGGTGAGATACACGTACCACACCACTGACCACTTTTACCGTTATGAAGTGTGCCATGCAGTGGCATTAAGTGCACTCACAGTGTCACGCAGCCACCGCCTCTGTCCATGTCCAGAGCATCTGCATCGTCCCAAACTCACAGCACGCACCCGTAGTAACTGCTCTTTCTCCTCCTTCCCGCCTCTCCGTTATCTCCATTGCACTTTGTGTCTCTGTGCGTCACCGAGCGGAGGTAGGCAGTAAGTGCAGAGGTCCCCTGATTTCCAGCTAGGTCACCACGGCCAGCTTCCCCCCAGGAAAGGCATCTGCACCCACTGCCCGTTTCTTTGCACCCTTGTGGAACGTGATCACCGTCTTCTCGTCATTGCCAATATGAGACACGAAGAAAGTTTGCTTTGCCTTCTGGGAATTGGCCCCTTTGTTTCCTTAGCTTACATTTCCTTTTCTTTGGGATTCTTCTTCTCTTATTGATCTTATTGTTCTTCTCTTATTGATCTTTTAACAATTAGGTATATATCACTTGCATTTATTGCTCCTATTTAAAATAGAAATCCTAAATAGAAGATTTTATCATCAAATCGTTCATTCTCAGGGCTAGGGGTTTAGCTCAGCAGCATAAGCATCTGCCTGGCAAGTGCAAGGTCGTGAGTTCAATCCCCAGTACCAAAAAAAAAAAAAAAAAAAATCGTTCTCTTGCTTTATGATTTCTGTCCTAGAAAGATTTCCCCACTCCTAAATTTTATAAATATTCAGCTATAAATTTCATGCTACTTTATTGGTTTCTGATTTTTCATTTAAATCTGTGAAGCATATAGTAGTTATTTCAGTATAAGATATAAAATAGATACTTCATTTTATGTATTTTAAAAGTAGCCCCAATATTATATAATTACTAATATGTTTATTGTCTCCTTACTTAATAATGCTTTCTTTATCATATACCAAATTGTTTTTTCTTATTTCTTGTTTTGTTTTGTTTGTACTGGGAATCAAACTCAGGCCTTCATGCCTGCAAGGTAGGCGCTATACCACTGAGCCCCAAATTCTTATTTCTGCTAGTCCTTATTTGCCTTATTGAGTTGCCAGGATTACAGTGCTGTAAACTGATAGCATATGTAAATATTAGATGGCACTCTACTTAAATAACTGAGATCTCAAATCTCTGTCCTTTTTGAAAATTTTCTAATTTTTTTGATATTCTTTATCCAAAATATATCAAAGGAATTTTGATTGGCTTGTATTGCATGTATATAATCATTTGGAAAATTTATGTCTTTACAGGATCAAGTTTTCCTTTTTTAGACTATGTCTGGTGCTTATCCTTTTACGGAAACCTCTTCTTAAATTCTAAGGCTGGAAATCCAAGTCCTGCCCATATTTTCTTGGGTCATACCTAGGTCTCTGAGAGCAGCCCTGTCCCTTAAGCACACACTGGTAACTTAGAAAGGACTTGAACTGTGGTTGGTC